AACGGAGAAAAGACAGTATCTTCAACAAATTGAGAAGGAATAATTGAACATCTACATGCAAGAAAAGTGAGTCTTCTATTACCCACCCCCATACTACCCCTAACCTTACTATTTCTGGTATCTACATTGCCCTCCCTGCTACCTTACCTTCCAAACTTTCAGTTTCTGCTATAGAGTGCAGACATTAGGTTTATACTGAGTGGGGACATACAGTCTGTTTTCATAGTCTGGCTTGTTTCACTTAGCATTATGTCTTCCACATTCATCCACTTTGTATCAAATGTCAGAGTCTCACTGATTTTTATGACTGAGTAGTATTCCACAGCGTACATATGCCACAGTTTTTCAATCCGCTCATCTATTTTTGGACATTTGGGCTGATTCCATATCCTAACAACTGTAAATAATGCAGCATTAAACATAGATGTGCAAGTGTTTTCTGATTGAGGGTTTTTCTATGCTCTGGGTAAATACCAAAGAGTGGAATTAATGGGTCATATGAGAGTTTATTTGCAGATTTCTGAGCAATCTCTACATTGTTCCCCAAAGTGGTTGTATTAATTTGCATTCCCACCAACAATGTAGCAGAGTTCTCATTTCACCACAGTCTTGTCAGCACTTATAATTATTTATTTTTCTTGGTTAGATCGAGAATTTTCCAAAATGATCCATTCTGCTTCTATTTTCATCATAAATATTATCTTTTTTTTTTTTCGCTATAGGGCGCGTGCACTCGCCAGGCAGAGAGAGAGAGAGAGAGACAGAAAGCGATAAATCACCCCCCGGGGGGATGGTCACGCCACAATCCCTTCTCCTCCATTCTCCTCTCAGGATTTTGGGCATGCACGCACACACGCCCGGCATGAGTTTTTAGCCACCCACGCACATGCACCGGCGTGAGTTTTAAGCCACTGGGTCCGGGACGCGAACCGCGGTCGACTACGTGGGAGTCCAGCGACATAGCCATTATGCTAACTGCTGGTTCCCTCATTGTGGTTTTGATTTGAATTTTCGTTATAAGAAGAGGCATTGAGCATGATTTCATATGCTTTTTGGCCATTCGTTAGTCTTCTTGGGAGAATTGTCTGTTTAGCTCATTTTCGGTTTTTTAAATTGGATTGATTTGTGTGTGTGTGTGTGTGTGTGTGTGTGTGTGTGTGTGTGTGTATGGGTAAGCTGCTTGAGTTCCCTGTATATTCTGGTTATCAGTCTTTTATCTGAGGTATAGTTTGCACATATAGTCTCCTACTCTGAGGGTTGTCTTCTCACTCTAATTATTGTTTCCTTTGCTGTGCAGAAGCTTCTCAGACTAATATAGTCCCATTTGTCTATTTTTGGGGCTATTGCCTATGCTTTGCAGGTCTTCTTTAAGAAGTGTTTGGATCAGCAGGCAGTGTAATGGTTACATCGCTGGACTGTCACATAGTTAAGTTTGAGTCCCAGACACGGTGGCTTAAAACTCGGGCTAAGTGCATATGCATGTGTGCCCATGATCCCAAGAGGAGAATGGAGAAGAAGGGATTGCAGCATGGCCATCTTCCTCACATTCTGTCTCTCTGGCAAGAGCACACACCCTATAGCGAGAATCTGTAAATAAAAAGAAAAGAAAAGGAAAAAACAACAAGAAAGAAGTCTTTGCTTACTCCAAGTTCTTTAAGAGCTTCCCCCAGTATTTTTATGGTTTGAGGTTTTATGTTTAGATTCTCAATCCATTTTGAGTTGATTTTTGTTAGTGGTGAGAGGTAAGGGTCCAGTTTCATTCTACTGCAGGTGGACATTCAGTTCTCCCAGCACTATTTGCTTAAAAGATTCCCCCCCACCCCCACGTTGGATTGCCTTGCATCCTTTGTCAAGGATCAATTGCCTGTATGTTTTGGGGTTTATTTGGGGTTTCTTAATTCTGTTCCATTGGTCTACCTGTCTGATTTGTGCCAATACCATGCTGTTTTAATTACTACAGCTTTGTAATATGTTTTGAAGACAGGAAATGATTTTATTCTTTATACTTTAGTCCCCTTGCACACTACTGCTTTGGTGATACAGGGCCTTTTATGACTCCAGACAAATTTCATGATTTTTTTTCCTATTTCTGTGAGGAATATTTCTGGTAGTTTGATTGAGATTGCATTAAATTTATAGATTAATTTGGGTAGGATTGATATCTTGATTATATTAATTCTTCCAATTCAAGAACATGAGATGTTTTCCACTTTTTTGTATCATTTGAAATTTCTTTTTCAAGTGTTTCATAGTTTTCCTTGTAGAGATCTTTGACTTCTTTGGTAAAGTTTACTCCTAGATATCTTCTTGGTTTTGTGGCTATTGTAAATGGGATTGCTTTCTTTAATTCTTTCTTAGTTTGTCCATTGTTGGTATATAAAAATGTTATAGATTTTTGTATACTAATTTTGTAATCTGCCACTTTACTATATTTATTTATCATTTCCAGGCAGTTTTGTTTGTTTGTTTGTTTTAGAGGGAGGGAGGGGAACAGGGCAAAGAAAAAAATATGTTTAACTGACAAAAGAAAAAAGCTATTTGCTGATGATAATGCATATAGTAATGTCTTAGTCTTGACTGATATGCATGGTATTCATGCTGGAAAAAGCAATGTTGTACACGATAAAGATATATAGTGATTAAATGTAAATTAAAATTAAAAAAAAAATGTGACTCTTAGGCCAGCCCCATAGCCTAGTATATAAAGGTACTGGATCTTACATAGTCAACCATGAAGTTTGAATCCCAGCCCAAAGGACTTCAAAAATATCTTCTGTGTGTGTCTGCGTGTGTGTGTGTGTGTGTGCATGTGATCCCAATTCCCAATAAGATGAAGAAGTGGAGAAGGAACTGTGGTTTAATTATGCTCCAGTGGGGATGCTTTCTCCTTCTCCCTCTCTGTCTATCTCTCCCTCTTTCTCTGACAAGTACACGTACCTACTGGTAATTTTTTAAAAGACTAAATCTAGACACACACCTCTCACAGAAATTAAATCAAAATGGATCACAGACCTAAATGTAAGAAGAGAATAGAGGAGAAAATCTGGATGAGACTGGTTTTGGTGATTACTTGTAAGATATGACACTAAAGGTATAATCCATAAAAAAGAATTGATAAGTAGATTTCATTAAAATTAAAAATTTAAGTTTTACAAGAAAATGAAAGAGTAAATCACAGAATGGGAGAAAACATTTGCAAAAGGTCTTTCAGATAAAGGACTATTACACAAAATACGATATTAAATCTAAATACTTAAAATAGAAAAATCCAATCCAAAAATGAGTCAAAGACCTTAAGAATCATCTCACCAAAGAAAATATACTTATGGCCAATAACCACATAGAAAAACGCTCTACATCATAAGTAATCAGGAAAATGCAAATTGAAACAACTGTGAGGTGCCACTGCTAGAATGGCCACAATCCAGAACACTGACACCACCAGATACTGACAAGGATATGGAACCATGGGAACTATCCTTCATTGCTGGTAAGAACACAAGATCGTGCAGTCATAGTGGAAGAGCATTCTGTGGTTCCTTACAAAACTAAAGCTGGCCTTACCATACAATCCAGTAATCATGTTCCTTGGTATTTATCCAAAGGAGTTAAAAACATATCTTCATATGAAAACCTGCATATGGGTGTTTATAATGTGATTTTTAAAACCTGGAATCAGAATGTCCTTCAGTAAGTGAATAAATTGAACAATCTATGGTACATTCATACAATGAAATTTCTAAAGAAAATTGAGCTATCAAGACATGAAAAGACATGGAGGGGCGTCAGGAGGTGGCAAGTGATTGGGGTGTTGGTCTACTACATAGCGAGCTGTGGTTCAAGTCCCGGACCTAGTGGCTCACCTTCTCACTTTCTCACTTTCCCTCTTTCTCTCTGGTGAGTACAAGTGCCTTATACAAAATTTAAAATAATAATAATAATAAATTAAATAAATTTTAAAAATCCCTAACTCTCTAAAAAGAAAAAAAAGATAAGACTTGAAGAAAATCTAAATGTATATTTCTAAGTAAAAGAAATCAACCTAAGAAGGCTGACAGGCTTCTACTATTTAACATTCTGGAAAAGGTTAAACTACAAAGACAGTAAAAAGATCAGTGGTTGCCAGGGCTTTTGGGGAATGGGGAGAAGAACAAGTGAGTGCAGAGTATGTTCAGGGCAGTGAAACCACTCTGTATAATACCCCAATGGTGGACATGTGTCACCACACATTGGTCCAAACCCACAGAAGATACAACACCAGAGTGACTCTAATCATAGCTCAAGGTAGATACATCAGTGGTTAAAAAAGGTGTCCTGTGGTGTGAGATGATAGTGGAGGTGGCCATGCAGGTATATGGTATATCTCTGCACTTTTCTTTCCATTTTGCTATGAATCTATAACTACTCCCAAAAATAAAGTTTATTAATAAAAATTTGTTTTTCTCACAGGTTCTTGCTACACTGGACAGGTCAGCCTCATGTTTGTGATCCTCCTGCCTCAGCCTCTGGAGTCTCTAGGATTACAGGTACACACCACTGTACCTGGTCTTTGGGTTAAACTAAGAAATTGAACTCAGGTAAGAGACCTGGTCTCTGGATAGCTGACTTTTGGGTGGTGCCTGTCCTACTCAGGATGCTGGCACAGTGGGTCAAACCACTGACTCATGGAAGTGACTGGGTGAGTCACCTCTCCAGAACATTTCTACATTTACAGCTGGTCAGGCAGGTCACCCACATCCTGCCTTACTATATTTCCCCCAACTAAATACAGGATCTGACCTTTATTCCACTAACTGGCCAATATTTGCAGCGTGTGGAGCTCTGCTCCCAACAGCTGTACCCCACCCAGCTCCTCGCAAGCTTCTATAAAAGGAAACTTCCTTCAACACCACGGAAAAGAAGGGAGACCTGGATAATAAACATGCAAAGGGAAGCTGGGTCACCGACTCCCTTTCCTGCCCCGACAACTGAGAAGCAGCAATCCAAGCATGCTTACTAACCTGCTCCTTGCTTCAAAAGCTCAGCTGCTGAATTGGCTGCCGTTTGGGGAGAACTTTCTGCTATTTCCTCCAGGGGGTCTGCAGAAATGGGGAGAAAAACACAAATGAGAGCTGCTCCTGACAGAGAACATCTACCACAAAGTTAGACAATCTGATGACAGAATTCCCAGACAGTGACATGCACTCATTGTGCAGAGTTGAAAATTTCTTTTGAGGACAATAATCCAGCCCATGGAAAATATGATCACACAGTGAACAAAAACATGGGTGACTCGGCCTAACAAATCATCATTGTCATCTGAATTAATGTATATGAGCAATGAAATACATTTTAAAGGTGAATCATATTTGCCTACAATACTTAATAAGAACATCTTGATATAAAATCACCTTTAGGTGACATTGAAATTGCTCAGGAAGGCTAGGATGATGGTCAAATCACCCCAGCATTCTGTGGGCATTTTTTTTAAATAGATTTTTTTTTATAGTTTTTCATTTATTTTTAAAAAATTATTATTATCATCATAATCTTCTTTATATTAATTTTACAGTGTATTATATTGCTTTTTCAAAAGGGAATGCCATGCATGTCAGTCAATAGAGAGACATTAATCTCCCGACTTCATCATTCAATATCTTTTCTATGTTTTTTCCAATCATTATTATTATTATTCTAATTATTTTTTAAAACAGTCAATCACTAATTCTCATTTTGCTTGTAAAAAGACTTTACCCATCATGAAATACTTCTCAGACCAATCCAGTTGAGAATACTATACATGTCATCATCAACAGTTAATAAGCCATATCTGCTTCTCACTAACGTCCTGCCTCTCTATTGTTCACTTGCTATCTTTCTCTATCCTCTTCTCCTCACCACCCCCTCCATTCCACACTGTCCTATTCTCATTAAGTACCTTCATTGCTTTTATGTCCTCCAATTTTTCGCTCTCTACCATAGAGTGCAGATAGTCGGTATATATTGAGTGGATACATACAATATCTGTCTTTCATAGCCTGGCTTACTTCACTCAGCAATAGATCCTCCATATCTGACCACTTTCTATCAAATGCCAGGGTCTTGTTATTTTTTATGGCTGAGTAGTATTCCATAGAGTTTTAATGGATATTTGTGAACTAACATCAAAATAAAGAGAACAGTTCATCCATCACTTAAGTTCAAAATATCAACATTTGCCCATCTCGTGGATTTATAAACAATCAATGCCAATGACTCTGAAGGTATCTTAGTCTGATGTCTTGCACATTTTAGCTACAGCACCTTGGCTCTGGGGAAGCGAACTCCATAATGTAAAGATGCCTGGGCGTGGCCAGCTGCAGCAGAAGTTCCCCTCCCTTCCTTGACTTGGGTGAACCCTTTGGACTTCTTGGGTTACCCAGAGTCCATGTTAGAAAATACTTCCAGTACTATTTTCTCAGTGCATCTTGACTCATTCCCAAACCAGGTTCCCTGACGAGTGGGGGCAATCCCACCCGGAGCCCAAGTGGTTCCAGAACCCAAGCCTGTACCTCTCTCCGGAATGAGCAGCTTGCACGGCAAGGCCAGGGGCGTGATGGAATGCTGGCACACCAAGGCCGTCAGGCTCCCTGCAGGACAGACAGACAGCAAACGGGAGTGAGCACTGCCTCTGTGCGTGTGTGTGTGTGTGTGTGTGTGTGCACGCGCGTGCGTGGCCGGCTCACCAGCTACAGCGCAACCGCTGCAGGGGAAGCCCTGGCTCCTTTACTGTGGGACTTGGTATAAAACTGCAAATAGGTGACATGTTCAATGTGACAATCACAAGGTCAGAGAAGGGAACTGCAGTGATCCGCAGCACAAACCCATCATTATCATCTGAGAGTAAATCACACAGGTGGCTGGATCAGAGAACAGGAGGGTTGAGGTTAAGAGCATGTGAATGTTTACCAAAATTCAGAGGACTTCAAAAAGTTTACATACTTGTCGAAGACTCCTCCTCCCCGTATATCATCCCTGTGCAGTCACCCTAAAGGGACACAGTGATGATGACACCTTAAGTCCACACTGTGTTCTGTGGGACTGGCTTATCCAGCCTCTCCAGCAAACCTGTGAGGCAGGAAAGGCCCCAATTTCCAGGGAAGGAAGGAGGCTCTCCTGGAAGCCCTGTGCTCCTTCCTCCTGGTGCTCAGGAGATAGAGTGCTGCAAAAGTGTCCACCTTATCAGGGCTCATCTGCCTGTCAACCAGGATGGTACTCTGCTCACACCTATGATTGCTAGTCCTGGCACACTGCTTTGGGGTTTAGATCGGCTTTTAAGAATAATTTCATATCCTATTTATTGTGAAGATAAAGGCTCAGATCAGAGGAGCCTCAGAATTAGGGACTGGAACTGTCACGAGAGGGGTGGTCCCAAATCTCAGCCGCAGTAGGCAGTCCATCCTCCTGCTTTCAGAACACCAATGGCAACCACTGCTGCAACTCACCAAAGTAGGGTTCATTTGAGCACCCTTTCAACCGCACTCCCTTTGGGGTACACTCAATCAGAAAGTGGCGGACAAGTTCATTGGCCAAATCTCCACCTGTGGCAAGAGATTAAAAAAAAATTTTTTTTTTTTTTTTTAGAAACAAGAGCACAGGGGGATCTGAGAGAGATTAGCTGCTAACCCAAGAAGCTACCAAGAGAAGGCCCCTCTTTGAACAGAAGTCTGCCATGGCCCGAGAGGACTCCCAAGAACCTTCTCAGGAAGGGTAGCCAGGCTGCAGGACAGCAGGACGAGCACAGGCCAGATGGACAATGAGAGCCCTACATTGACCAAACAGGGCTGGAGGGGTCCTTGGGACAGGCCGCTGACATCCTACAAGAATGCCCAATGAAGGGTACCTTGCAGCTAAGACGACCAAGAACCTTCAGTCCTGTCTCCTCCAAAGAGGAGAGGTCGGAAGGATGTAGATACAAAATAAGACCTAAAAACAAACTATTAGAAAGAGCTGGAAGGATGCCAGTCTTCTGGGTGAGACACAGCTGGGGCCCAGGGACACAAATCCCTCCAGGAAGCAAGCCTGTAGCTCTACCATTTTAGTAATGAATGACAGACACTATGTACACACTGATCCAGGGATCCCAGAGAAGAATTATGAAGAGCCATAAGGGCCAGCAGGTAGCATGGTGGTTAAGGTTGCTGGATCCCACATGGCCAACCAAACTGCTCACGTCCCAGACCAGGCAACTTGAAAAGTATATCAGATGCATGTGTATATGTGCCCAAAATCCCTAGAGGAGAATGAAGACAAAGGGATTGAGGTGCAGCCATCTACCCTTCCCCCGGTGGGGTGCTTTCTTACCTTCTCTCTCTTTCTATCTCTCTCTGACAAAAATGAATGGTGGTGGTCGGGACCAGCCGTTAGCGTAATGGCTATGGCGCTGGACTCCCATGGAGTCGACCGCAGTTCGGGTCCCAGACCCAGTGGCTTAAAACTCACGCCGGGCGCATGTGTGTGCATGCCCAGGATCCCAGGAGGAGAATGGAG